GGCCAGCTCCTCCGGCCACAGCCAGCCCCGCTCTCCGCCCCGCCTCGCCCAGGCCCCACCCCTTGGGCTGACCATCCTTCACACAGGGACGTCGGAGAGTTCCTGGTACCGTCCCCCTCTGGCCTCCCATGGGCCGAGCCAGGCTCCCGTGGGGCCGAGGGGACGTCCGCCCTCTGGGGCCCGAGCCTGCGAGGCAGGGAGCACTGCAACCCGGCGGGGCCTCGGGATGGAGGCAGAATGGCGGAGCTCGCCCTCCCCTCCCCAGCAGCCCTGGGGGGGTCCCTCCAGCGCCCCACCCTCTCTCCAGCTTGCCCAGCCAGACGGGCCGGGGCCCCGCCACGACGCACCTCGCATCCGGCACGAGAGCATGTAGGCGATCAGCCCCAGCAGCATGGCCCCGGCGACGCTGGGGATGACGATCAGAGGCACGTTAAAGTCCCCTGTCCAGCTGTTGTCTTCCACCTCGTCCTCGGTCCCGTCCTTGGTCCCGCTGGGCGAGGATTCGTTTGAGACGAGGATTCCTTTAGGGGGTGGCAAACAGAAAGGAGACACAGTGTCATCTCTGGGACAAGCCTGGCAACCCAACGCCCCTCCTCCGGCACGACAGGCCGCCCCCCCGCCTCAGCTCTGTCTCGACAGGGCCTGGGAGTAGGGTCCCGGCCCTCGCGGGGGGCTCAGCAGAGCGCCCATGATCCAGAGACAACACTCCCTGCGTGGCCACACAGCTGAGATCAACTTCTGCCTGCAGCACCTGTATGCAGCCACGGCAGCTGCAAACATACAGGCCCTGGGGTGGTGGGGGCGGGAGTTCCCTGCCGCTGAAACAGACCACGCAGAGGAGCTGGGATTGGGCAGCAGAGCGAGAGAGGGTGATGGATTTGGGCATCTGCCTCCAGGCATGCAGCTGGGGGAGAGAGGTCCTTGCAGCAGCAGATCGTGAGGCGGGGGACGGGGTGGAGTGACAGTAGCACAGAAAAATATCCATGGCCCAGTGTCACCTCCCAGGGCTTATGCCCCGGGTTCACATTTCTGCAGCCCCACCGCTGTGCACCAGGCGCTCGATATGGGTCAAGCTCTCCCCACCTACATGCTTTCCGATACCCGCCGCGAGCCCAGCGGGGCCGCCCCAGCCCTGGTTTGGTTTTGACTCAGGTCAGCTGCTGGAAATGTGGCTGTGTGGTTTATAAACTCTGCACCAGAGGCGGTCACGACATGCGCTGTGGCCAGGAAAGCACATGTAACCGCGGCTAGCCCTGGGGCCCTCGCCCCGAGCGGTGTCTTCGGATGCTGCCCTCATGTCCTGGTTGGAAAGCGGGGGCCTGGCGTACAGCTGGCAAGCAGCAAGCCTAGACTTTGGCTGGCCACCTGCAAAAGCAACCACCACAGCCAGAGATGCTGGCTGATGTGAGCAGCTAGAAACGGCACATTCTAACCTGGCTCCCTGGGCCATCGCGGCGACGGCGGGAGGGGGAAGAGATGCTGGACTTAAAATGTTCAGGCCAGTAAAGAGAGCATTGTAACAAAACTTCAACTTCACTGTGTAGCACAGACGCCTGGGATTTCCCCGCAGCCTTAATAGGTGGCAGGTTTAAAACAAGCAAAAGAAAGTATTTCCTCACCCAACACACATTTAACCTGTGGAACTCCTTGCCACAGGAGGTTGTGAAGACCAGGATTTTGACAGGGTTCAAAAAAGAACTAGATCAATTCCTGGAGGTTAGGTCCATCAAAGGCTGTTAGCCAGGGTGGGTCGGGATGGGCCCCCCGGCCTCTGTTTGTCAGAATCAGGGAACAGATCAATGGATTCCCTGTTCTGTTAATTCCTTCTGGGGCACCGGCACTGGCCAGTCGGAAGGCAGGATGCTGGGCTAGATGGGCCTTTGGCCTGACCCAGTGTGGCTGTTCTGGCATTCTTATGCAGCCCCGAGGACACAGCTCAGACTTGCTTCTCGAAAAACACAAGCTCCTACCACTAGAGCTCACGCAGGGTCTACGGGCCACAGCTGGGCTGCTCTGAGCCCCTCCAGCAGGGGGCGGCAATAGACACACCGGCACGCTTGTTCGTTACACTCAGAAACAAACCTGTCACCGTGAGCTGAGACACGTTGCTTTCCAGCACTTTGCTGAACGAGGAGAAAATGATCAGCCCGCAGTAGTAATGCCCCGAGTCGCTCTTGGTGAGGTTCAGGATCTTTATTTCCACCGTGGAAGTGTGGTTGATGAGGACGAAATTCTCCTTCTGGAGTTGTTGTTCGTTCCCATTCAACTCTGCAATTTTTTGGTTGTGGGTGGAATTGATCTTTTTGTACCAGTTTAAGCTGTAGTCCGACCGAGAGAAGCTCGCCGTGGAGATGTTGCAGAAGAAGCTGGCGTTGCTGCCCTCCGGCATGGACAGCTCCTCCGGGTAAAACGTCACTGTGTCTGGGAAAGAGACAAAGGACAGCACACGGGGATCAGCCGGAGCCAGTGCAGAACAAACAGAGCATGGTTATTATTGCCACGGTGGCAGCCTCTAGAAGCGTCTCTCCGGGATCAGGGCCCTGGCATGCAAGGATATGAGGATCCAGCCTGAATGTACATGCTGACAACCTGAGAGACCGCCTACCTCACAGCTGCACAGAGAGGCAGTGTGAGCCAATGGGCAGCACACTACCCTGGGACTCAGGTTACATTCCTGGCTCTGCCACTGGCGGGTCGAGAGACCTTGGGCAAGTCACGTGCCTCAGTTTTCCCACCTTTAAAATGGGAATAAGAATCTCTCCTCCTTTAAGTGCTTTGAGGCCGACTGATAGGAGTGCTGCAAGGCATGGGGACAATGAAAAGTTCTGCATGTGGGTGGTTAATTGATTCGATTTATTGCTGGCTTACGATGGCCAGACAGAACCGTGCCGCGAGTCTACGCCGGACTGCTTTATGCCCTCCGTGGTGCGTCTGCAGAGCAGCGCCCAGAATTCAAAGTGACAACAATCAGCATTGGTTCTTTGCCTCGCTTATCAGCAATATGGGGCCTAGGCAGAGTCTAGGAAGTTGACAAGGACGTTTCTCCTGCCCTTGTGTGGGTGCTGAAGCTCGTTATCTGAATGTCCCACACAGCACTAAATACAAAATCCTTCTGGCCTATAGCCATTGAAATCAACGGCCTCTGGACAGCAAAGGATCTGGTATTGGGAGATATTACTAGCTAATATTTAATCCCTTGTAATAACCGTCCTATTGCATCTTTATATGGGGCCAAATTTTGCTCTCGATTTGCACCCCCTTGACCGCAGAGGAACTTCCAGCTGTTCCATATGTAAATGAGGATCTATTTTTACACCCGGTGCGTCATCCTTTCTGTTGCTGATTGTGCTTCTGAAAGGCAGCAGGTGAAACTGACGCAGAGGCACTTGCCAGGGTGGGGCGGGAGTATAACTGATCCGCGGCAGGTGCTTTCTGACACCTCTTTGCCGGCGGGTGTCGGATGGGTAACGACAACACACTCAGCCCCGCGGCAACCGACTGACGCCCTGTCCTCAGACTTCTGGGTCCTATTGTGTCTGTGCTCGGCCGCCTGTCAGTTGCAGGGGCCAACGACTGAGGGGAGAGTACAGCCTGTGGGGTCAGGGAGGCTCGTGGGGATTCAAGGGCACAGAGAAGACTGTGGACTTTTGATCACACCCAGAGGCCCTCTAGGGCCAAGGACCTGGCCTTCAGACGCCGATCCAGAGAACTCTCAGGCGCCCAGCCCCAGCAGGTCAGGCATGCCTGCCTCAGTTTCCCCCTCAGGTAACTCAAGTGCCAGGCGTTCTTGCTTCAATAACGCCCTTTCTGGAGGACAGTGCGTTACAAGGCATGATGCAAATAAGCCGCTCACCCCCAGAAGCACCGAACACTGTCCGTTTCCTGGGTAAGCTCCAGACATCTCGTCCCTCCCTGTCCCACGTAACACAACCTGGCGCCTGGGACCACAGCCGGACTTTCTGTACGTCCTTGTCTTGTCCTCTAGCCCAAGCCAGTCACGTCAGTCCTTCTAAGTAGAGGGCCACCCTGCTCTTCCCAGCGGGATCCCTCCCAGCTTAGCTTCCCTGCCTGCCCCGCCGCTCTCCCGGTTCCTCGGAGCCCTGCGCTCTAGCCCTGGAGATTTCAGCAGGTCGCCCCTTCCGCTGCGCTCCTGCCAGGTCCCAAACACGCCCCTCTGGCAGCTTCCATCTCCTGCTGCCTCTCCGTCTCCATCTCCTCTGGCTCACCGGGCCTCTCTTGCACCCGGACTGGGCCCTCCACAGACTCGAACGGTCACTCCCAGGGACCTGCCTGCTTCTGGCCTCTCTCCCTACTCCCCATGATTACCCCTCACTTGTTCTCTCTCTCCGCCCCCATCCCATTGTTCTTTCTCCGGATGGGCCACGCAGCACCGCACTAAATACAGAGTCCAGCAGGCCTGCTGCCATTGGCATCAACGGCCTCTGGACAGCAAAGCGCCTGGCATTGGGGCGAAATAACCGGCTCACGTTGAATCCCTGTTCATCACTGGTCTATGGAACAGTGGGGCCAATGTCTGCTCTCGGCGGCACCCACCCGACCGCAGAGGAATTTCCAGCTGTTACTGATGCAAACTAGGGTTTATTTTTACAGCCGGTGTGTCATCCTCCTCTCGTACCCACTGGGCCAGCTGGCCCCTCCCCCCAGATCTTGGTCTCATACTTTGCTTGTCTCCCCCCACCCTTGCGTCATCCTAGCTTGGGCAATGAAGGGTCTGGCACCGGGGCCGCCTTCTCCCTGCTGGTCTGCGGAGGGCCTAGACGAAGGGGGCAGCTAACTGTCCCTGTCTACCCCTGCGACCCCTAGTCACCACTCTCATGCACCCCCGCGCTGGAGGGACAAGGGGAAGAGCTGAATCACCATGGGAACGCCGGTCCTCAGACACTCCACTGAGACAGCCAGCAACCTGTCCAAGGTGCCCGCTAGGCCCCGGACTCGGCCCACCAGCTTCTTTCCCCGAGGTGCTGGCCGGCAGTGACCCGCCCGTGGCTTGAACTTGCGGCCTGGGCTCCAGCCCCCTGGCAGTGACCTGGGACAAAGTGGGCATTCCGGGCAGTATTTCGAAGTCGCCGCTGCGTGCCTCAGTTTCCCCCGTGGTTTGCATGGTTACCCGGGCAGGAGGGAAGAATGAAGCTGGCTCTGCAGGCAGGCCAAGAGCCATCAGGGTGGCTGAGCTGTCTGCACACACGCAACGGCTCATTAACAGGACCGACCGAGGACGACCCGTGTCAGAGGAAAACGGGAGGAGACAATGGGAGATTGACAGCCCAGATGCTCCTGTCACTTCAGGACGAGCCGTCCCCACCCGGGTGCCCATCTGCACGGAGGTGCCCGTTTGATCTCACTAGTGTTTATCCGCTGGGCACCTGTGACCGAGGGGTGTGGACTCCACCTGGCCCTGGCGGGACAGTGAAGGGCTGAAGGAAGACTGGTGAGGGATAGAAAAGCTGGTTGCCAGAAGAGGCTGCTGCTGTCTGTGCTGCTGGCAGGC